TGCATGGTCAGGCGCATTGAACATCTTTGTAGGAAATAAATCAAACCAGCACTAGCTACTCTGTGTTTTCTTACAATGTGTAAGGATGGTATATTTGGACAACACACACTATAGTCTTCACAAATCAAATCATTTCAATTTCTCTCTTCATCATTCCAAGTTGTATCGCTATCCAATCCAGATGTCCATATAAAACCTTGGTGTTATCGTGGTTGTCGGGGCTCACACACAGTTCAAGCCTCATGGCGAGGTTGTGAAACTTCCCAACCGAGTCATAACCATGGAGGCTAGTGCTGAGATGAGTGAAGTCCGTTGCCCGCAACAAGTTTGCAGAGTTGGGTTGTGTTATGTCGTGTATATTTAAAACGAGAAACGGTTTGATTAGCTGCTCGGTGGCCGAGAGGGTGGTACGCTTGTGTTGTACCGGTGAGGTCCCGAATTCGATCCCCAATTGGGTCGACGAATTTGCACTGATAATGAGACTCAACCAGGTTGAAACAACTGTCCAGTGCTTCCTAACTCGTCAGCTCACACCTCAGTTACACGAGCAGTTCATCATCTAATCATGGAGATTTCTTAGTCATTTCAAGTTTGCTTTGAAGAACTAATACGCAAAATTGGAAAACTACCACTTTGATTTGAGAACGAAACGCTCCAGTTGGATCCGCTTCGCTGTCAGCGCACTTCATTGGTCAATCGATCACACGTTTTTCCGCCCACCCCTTGTCTTTCCACACTCACATTCTGTTTTGAAATGTGCCTTGCATTTCGCCGTGTTCGCTGACGGACCTCGATCCGGTGGGTCGTTGAAGCCGAGCGATTTACACGAGACAGTTCAGCTGAACTCAATTATAGTTAAGCAGAAGGGGTAACATAGTGTTTAGTGCACGCTACAGCTAAGTCGCTAGTGGGTCGTGGTTGCTCGACCAGTGACAATAGCTCAATCATCAAAGCTTGCCATGTTAACTACGACCAAGGACGAATTCAGTACATTCTGTGTACACTTTTCATCACGGGTATCAGTGAGGCCAAGTCGAATTTGTTGAGAGGCTTGGATTGAAATTATTGAGGTTATATATGACGACTGGGATGTTTTTCATCAATAGCCTAGCAACCAAGACCAGTTACACCTTAACTGTAACTCGTTCACTCCTGGCTCTAACCGAACCAAACAGAACGCAATCGATTAGTTTGAAAAAAAAGAGATATTTTAGAAGTTAAAAGAGGATACTCGTCAGAAGTATTGTGTGATGAAACCTCAAATTATGTCGCAGCTCGTTCACATCGACTGTCACGAGACTGGTCGGCCTCGCTATCGATCTAACCAGTATTGACAGGCCTAATGATCAGTATTTTCACCCATTGACCCTGTAACTTATCTTGATATAATTACTGTCAACTCGCTCCAGTTCAGTGGCTTGTGTTCTTCATAATCAGGGTTGTACACTTCTAAAATATTGCTTTATAAAGAATATTCACAATCTACACAACATTACAACGGACATTTTTCATAATTTCGCGGTTAGCATGCAGCTGGATAGAACAAATAATTGCCACTACGGGGACATTAAGAATGAACTGTACCGATCTTCCCGGGTAGAAATGCAAGATGATTTGACGGAAGTGAACATCAGTTCTTGCTATATTGGATTTGTTCACAAACATAGAGGCTAGTTATTAAATACGGGCAGAGTGGGGTAGGATGGAGTGAGGTGGGGGCGGGAAAACGGTGTTGTCACTTTCCTCGACCCCAAAAGCTCATGCAACATCTGAGTCGCTTTCCTTCAGCGTACTTGTCCGTGTGCAATACATGTGTTCCTCCCCTCTTATTGAACAATCACATCATCCTGCTGATTCTAACGGCTCCTGATCGATCAATAAAAGCGCAATTGTTAGGCAGATTCATATCCCATCGGTTTAATACCTATGTTAGAATCCCAAAGGTAGTGCTGGAACGAGGAGAATTGTTTGCTACAATTAACGGTAAAGATATTCATAAGTTGGCATACATATAACAAAATGTCTCATTTGGAACAAGTCTCCAAAGTTCTCACAAGCACAGATGATTATTATTGGAACGGTCCGACGGCAGATACACATCTTCCATAGTTGCCATTTTGAACACAGTAATTCGCTCTAACAAATCTTGTTCATTATTGACCTTGGAGAGAAATAACCAATCACGTTCTTGTGCGCAAACAGAACATACTAATCATAACACTTGGAGGTCATTTCCCTTTCCACTATTACCCCTCCGGAAGGAACATAATTTCAATCCTTCAAGTACAAACCAGTCAAAATGATGTCATCTCACTCTCTCTCTCTCTCTCGAACAAATGCCTTCGCGTAAGCATAAAATAAACTGATCAAATCTACCACATATCCTACCACAGTTACATCCCCATGCGCTTTTTTCGGTCACCACAAAGAATTCCATCGTAAATACAAAGATCGGGGGTCGGAATGCATCACTGACCATGTTGCACAGCAGATATAACCAATTTACATTTCTATCAAATTACAAAACGGTGTTCTGATTCATCAGTCATTGATAAAAACCAGGAAAATTGCAGTTTTGAAAATGAAGTTTATGCTCGAACCGAAAATATTTTCTTAGATTACTCAGCTGAATTGTATAGTGAGTAGCAGCTCTTTACAATTATCCAAACGCAGTTGGTTTAATAGAGATATCTCACTCCGTTCCGGATATTCTGTAGTAAAACTGGAGGATAGAAATTGTGCTAGTGCTTCTATCCGGGTGTCAGAGAAACGGCACATCATCTCCATGCTACACAGGAATACGATGTGAATGTGATAAGAATAACGCTTTTATCGATCAAACACGATCCTTTGGTATCGGCGGAAAATCACAGGATGTGATTGTTCAAGGAGAGAAGAGAATCATACGTAATACATGAAGCTTGAACGATGCGTGAGCTTGACAACCCTGATAAGTTCATCACCTTTTACGGACATCTAGATTTGACAGTGGCAGAACGTGAAATGATATCTGGACAGTTTGATTTGCAGTTGTTATAGACCGGGATTGCGCTGCTGTTAAACCTCATTAGTAGCATATATCCTACCGACCGATTGCGGGATTTAACCTCTGAACCTATCGTGTGGAANTGTGGAAAGCGCATGTATGTTTACAATGTGCCAATCATCTCTTACAGGGGCCAACCCAAATAACTCTTGTCCATATAGTTCACTTGTGGTTTTCAATGGCAACCAATGAATTTGCTTCGTCTGACAGCAGCGATCGATATCACAGCATAATTTCTGGATCAATTCGAGGGTTTTCCGTCTGCGGATTGGTCAGTTATAACCAATGACGCTCATCCCAAATAACTATTTGCAATTAATCGTGAATAAGATGTGCACAGGTAATTATGACTGTGTTTTGCGCTTGAGCTTCTGTTGTCCCATTCATGTGTTGTTCTCTCTCTCCCTGTTTGCACACACACACACACACACACACACACACACACACACACACACACACCAAAAGGCTTTTGGTCAAACTGAACTCGTGCTTCCACATTCACCTGTATCGTGAAGTTCTCTCGATTGACCAGACACAAACGGTGAGTTTTTGATTTACGCAAACGCATGAACAGTATACTCGATTATGCTGTATGCTTTATGGGATTTAATCGTCGAACCGGGCACATAAGAAGGTTGTGATTCTATTGCAGAGTATGAAAAACGTTGACAGTTGACGTGGTCCTGATGCGTCTTTAAATAATTGCTATCGCCACTGGGCAATTGGGCATTCAAATTGGTGGCACTTTATACCATGGCATCACCAGCAGTAAGTCTCCACCAAACCCGCCAGGATTCGAATTTTGGTACATACGAAGAACAAAGAAAATATCAAGCTGCCTACCCATTGGTTTTGATCAACAATGTATGAAATAACACCTATCCAGCACTATCGTTAGGTTTACTGGACTGCCCGTGACACCGAAAGTTCCATTGAAGCATAACTGTTCAGTGGGATCTGAGTACGCCTAAGCGGTAAATTAGCACCAAATAGACCAGATTTATTTAGATGAATCGGTGTAAAATACTCGGTTAGTTCTTCTCAGGTTAAATCATCACATGAAATTCGTTGAAGTCTTGTAGAACTGTTTCCTGTTTAGGATGTGAAGTTGTACTGTAGTCCCTTTTTACCGGGGTAGAGATGAGATCGGTTGACGAGCTTATAAAGCCTTGATAATTTGTGATAATTGAAATAGTATGGAATATCGAAATACGAGAACCCGTACTGAAATACTCAGAACTGGATTGGTTCCAACCCAAACCGCGGACACCAATGAAATACACGGTAGCGGTAAGTGCCACTCTTTATTCGTAGAAATAGAGCGTGTTTTATAGAAAGCTAATGGTCATATCATTGGTTGAAGGACCATCGTCCAATCACGTAACCGTTTATGCAGACCCATCGCATGTACTAACTCTGATGTAATGTTCGCTCGGCATACCATTGGTTCAGCTTCCTGAACTTTGATTGGATTATATGAAGCGGTAACTGGTCATACTTGGAATGCGGTCACGTATGTCTGGATTACCACATAACAATCGGTACTTTATGAGCTTTACATATGTTCAAATTTATTCACTATTATTTGTGATGTTTTTTGTGTGTATTCTGCTTGATTATTCGTTTAGGGGAGGCTTTCGATTACAGTCAGCGACTAATGACTAACAGCGTTCCCTCATCGTTGCTGTCTGATCGAATGAGCTGTTTGATTGAAATCAAAGGCATAGTTTGAACAAACTTGAATTCTTATGGTGACGTTCGTCGTATACAGAGCAAATGAAGTATGAACTGAAAAGTTAGGAACTATTAAGGACAGCTGTTTCCACTCGATGTCACCAGCTTGGTGCGAATTCATCAATCCAGCTGAGGATCACAAAATCGGAACCTCACAGGTAGACCGCAAGGGTACTACCCAATCGGCCACCGACGGGCAGCTGATTGGACCGTGGTTCATTTTGTTTCCATACGATATAACACAACCCATTTTGCAATTCTGTTACGTGAATCACATCTTGTTCATCTCAACACTAGTCTCCAGGGGTTATGAGGTCCCGGGTTCGATCCTCAGTTGGATCGATAGATTCGCATTTCTGTCGAGATCATTGTTCAGGTCGGAACAGTTGTCTAGTGCTTCCTAGCTCTTCAGAGCACGCTCTATTTGCTCTGTATATGAGGAACTTTACCATAGAATTGAATCAAATCCTTCATTACTCACATAAAATTTGAATTGGCGTAGTATTCGGAATAGGAATCGGAATCGAACAGTGTGAACTCGGAATCGGACGGAAAATCCACTGAATAACGAGCGCTAAGTCAGGTAGAACCAAGATGAGTTGTAGATACAGTCAAATCTTTTCACAAAATCGTGCTAATATATATCACAAGCAACAAACAATCATTGGTTGATTCTTGAATGTCCAACCTACAACGATATGGTTTATCTGTTTGCTTTGTTGCACCCAGCCAATCCGGCTGGTGCCAATTGAGATTACAGGATTGGTCGGTTGGTCAGTTTCTTGATTAGTTACCTGGAAGCTGTACCGTGGTGCGTGCGTACTCGTGACACGATCACCACAATTGATCATTCGGATCAGGTTAAGTGTGAACTAGCTGGCACACATGATAGCATGTTTGTACTTTTTTGTTAAACCGTCCAGGGTTCAAATCCGGAATGAGTCACTGGTTTCGCAACACAGTGTATTTCGAGTAATAGTAAGTCTGCCGTGTTTCCCGTGTGCGTAGGATTGATTGAATGCGAATAGAGGACAGTGGTGGCCCGGTGGTAAGGTCGCCACCCCCGGAGGACGTGTGTTCAAATCCCACCACCACAACCACCACTAACACCACCTGACTTCCCATTCAGTGTTGCTTGGTTGCCCTTTGATTGACCGCTTTCCTCTTCCTGAAAATTATATCATTACATAACAAATTTCGACGTATTGAAGCATCTACTAATGTAATAGTGGAACCTTTTAACGATTCCATTTTCACTGAGATTATTAATGTCAGTGTTTGCGCTACCACTCTTGATATTCCCAGTATTGTGGCAGTCTGCATACAGAGATGTGGAAAAAGAGGAGGAGGAGGTGGTCTTGTCCACTGTGATTTCTTTTCTCTCCTAATGCATGATATGAAATTTTCCGCTTATCGTTTTGTTCCAACTCATTCCGGTGAGAATATTCTCGTTTCAACATGCAAAGGCTTTGTTTTCGTCTCGCTTCCAATGATCTATCTATGCACACGCGTGTGAATTCTCCGACCTTTGCAAATCTCCCATCGTGACGGATAGAAATCCGGGAAAAGATCTGCCCAAGCACATCCACAGGAGATTCCGATTCCCGCTGAGAAGCGTCAGCGATGTCACGCAGATTTGCATGGGAATTCCGATCGTCTGCACAACACCTCAACGATACCGTGTGGATGTTCTTTGGCCACGGCTAAAGTGAACCGATGGAAATCGGCAGCTGAGATGTTGAACAATGCCCCGGATCTGTCTAACGCGTTGGAAAAAGCATTGACCGATCTGTTTTTACGACGTGTGAGTGACCATTGCGGTTGTACGCACATATGTGTGTGCGCGCGCGCTCGCGTTCGTGTCGCAACGCATGGTTCCATGTTCAAAAATAACTTTTGAGATAAATTCGCATTGTTATTCATACTGCAGATAATTTTAATTCAATCAGGTAAATATCAATGACTTTCCTGTAAATAATATCGGAACTGTCAGATAAAATTTCTCTGGAACCATACAATGTATTTCGCGACTGTTAGTGCTCATTAGATTTGTGTGCGTATTCGGTAATATTTCGTGAAGCTCTGCTTTATCTGTCCACATCTAAACAAAGTATTTCCACACACATACGCTATCTGGAAATCGATGAAGTAGCAACAACTTTACAGTTCAAGTAAGTGAATGACGTGATGGAAGGCCACTGGACACGTATACCTGGCGAACGGCAACAAACGTGAAACCGGTCGTGTGCTTCTCAGGAAATTTTGTTCAATCGTACATATATAGTACTTATCGCTAATATTCCAGTCGGATGTTTGGTTAATATGCTGCAAAAATCGATTAGAAATAATGATATCAGGACAGAAAAAAACGATTCAAAGAAAATGTTGTACGAAGATACACCCAGAGATGAAACTAGTCAGAAGCATGCAGACAAATATATACACTGAGTAACGGTATTTCAAGGCAAGTAAGCTATTTTAGATTATTATCATTCTAATTCGCTGCTTGGGTTCCACACTGAATTTGTGGAGGTACACCTCCCCCCCCCATACTTGTGAACCAA